AAAGTTAGTTTGTTTACGGTATACGAAGGTGTAGCATAATGAATATGTTGGTGACATAATGCGGGGTTCCGTGATGTACAGTTATAGTATTAACACATGCGGTTTTCTGGTTTACGCATGCGCCCGAGGACGATATTGGCCGTGTTCGTTACTGACATATTCCACTCAAAGTGATGTGCTCGTGCATGCGCAATAACAGTTTTATGGAGTACGTGTGCTCAAAATTAATAAATAATTTTGAGCATGCGCGAGCACATCACTTTGAGTAGAAAATCACAATAACGAATAGGGCCGTTGCACGTTGCAGTGAGTGGAAGCGACGTAAACCTATTCTTGTAAACCATTATCATCTGCATTTGCTACAGCTATAAGTCAGATGTCTTTTCTGGGGTGATGCTTTTTAATATTTTTCTCCCTTGGATAAGACCTTTGCGAGAGGTTTTGTAAAGGTCAAATACAATTTTCCCAAAAAATGCAGATTTCGGGCTTGAAGTGTCAACACAATAGCCAATTTTACTGGACTACTTTAACTTTTACAATCCTGGGGACTTTAGAACTGTTTAATTTTCATCTCATTTGATTTTTATTCTCAACTGCAAATCCGCATCCCCTATTTTTAATATTTATTTGATATATATTTCTACACAGGCTTGTACATCTCGCTGGTTTGTATTTAATATCATTTTGTTGGGTTTTAAATTAGTCAGTTGTTAGTATTTAAATTATATTAAAACCAATTGGTCTAACTAGGTGTCTAACTTAATTAATTCTATTAAATATAAATTCATCATTATTTTATTTGATTTTGGAAATTCAATGACAAACGTACATTCTCATTTCTTAACTGAAACAGACATTTGCATATGTAGGGTTGCAGTAGTTGTCAGACCAGAATGCCCGAATGTAAATAAGTTGATTGCGAATATCAAAAAAAGGGTTTTTTAAAGCTCCCCTTAGAGTACAATTTTACAATGAAAAACTTTTAGATGTACTTTTACCTCTTAAAAATTGTCATAACAAGATGGGGAATTAGTTCACATAAACGGCATTTTAAAAGGTCATGAACCAACAGAAAGTATTGAAATTCAGCTTGATCGCATACCGTATTTTAAATTTGCTCCATTTTTATGTGAAGTAGAACGAACATTTTGTGTTCATAGACATGTTTTACCAGACCGACGACAGTGTTTTACGATGGATAATTTTAGAAAGTCATTTAATTATATATTTGTTATAATTTGTCTAAAGGTAACGTTTATTATTTAATTTCT